CCAAAATGCTAAAATGTGACAAAGGTAGAGTATCAGGGTAACTTGCTGGATATTATTATCCTGGTTTTAGAGATAGGATTATAGGTTAGGTGGCACAACCAAGGTCAATCCGGAAAAGAAATTTAGCTTTTATGATTCCATATGGTTTTCCAAGCATTTCTTCTATGAAGAACACATCCAATTAGTTCATCTTATGCTCAGTGATACCAACACATACTCATTCTGTTTATGCTGAAGTTCTTTTGTGAAAATGACACCAGAAAATGTTCAACTTTTAAGATATATACAAGAGACAAATCCTTCTTCTTACCTTTCCTAAATAATCATGCCATGTGGGGAACAAACCAAACATTTCAGAGGAACTTAAGAACAGTCAACTAGACTCCGGTATAAAGTGTAATTGATTTTGGAGACAATTTCCATTTCCCACTTCCTGACACTGAATCTTTAACTCAGATAGAAATTCAGCTTTCTTATTGAATGCACTCTTAAACTTATCCAACATAGATTTATAAAACATAGTTTAAAAACATAATCAGGGACACAGTTAAGACTTCTGTCTAATTACTCCCATAACAATTTTATTTGATAATTTATTACATAAAGCTTTTCCTAAATAATCACCCTTGTATTTCAGTCCTTAACTTGTTATTTTATTCAGCTAAGATATTTTTTCTTATAAAGTGAAAATTCAATTGGAACTAAGTCAATTTAGATATTGTTAAATCAAATATGATTATGTAAAGAACTGTCTTACCTATCCTGTTCAAGGTTACTCAGTTACTAAGTGGCAGAGTAGGAAATCAAGCCCAGGGTTTTGACATTATGTTCATAGCTTTCTTCAATGATTGTCAGTCACCTGGATTCCTACCCTTGTGAGACATAATTCCACAGTGTTACTACAACTCCCTTTCTTTGACTCCCCCACTAACAAGAATTTCCTATTATTCCTCTATCTAATTCCAACTTAATTTTTCAACATCAGGAAAACTTCCAGTTCCTCAATCTTCTCCCTCCCTAATCTAAGACCATTAATTTATTACTGGTTTCACTTCACATTGCCAGCCAGGTAATAATATTTTGCCAGCTATTTTGACGAAGCTTTCTCCAAGTACTATGCAATCTTCTGTTTTTAGCTAGCCTGGGAAAATCACACATATTCTTTTAATTGGATTTATTTTTAAAGCAATGTGATTGACCAGATAAGACATTGGAGAGAATTGAAGGCATTTAGTCATTGGACTGGAACATGCAAGCATTGCAAATGAAATACCATTGTCCAGAAAATTTGACCTACATTATCCTATTTATTCTAAATCACTAAATAATTGGTTAAATGTATTACAACAGATGAGTTCTGGCTCCCAAACCATGGTTGTTGAATTTCTTGTGAGACAAATATTATTTAATATCTTAATTGAAGAATAACTTATTACTCATAGATTTATAATTTTAAGTTTCTCTTAGTAAACTGAAATCTATATTTTAATAATTAATATATTTTTACATATTTCATTATGAAAATTTAAATTAAGTGGTATTAGTATATATAAACATTGCAAGAATGTAACATATGCATGATGTTTTATTAACAATATTACTATTAAAAACATTTCCATTTAATTATTAGTTTATTTTAATTGAAATTCCTTCCACAGAAATAACAATATATATTTGATAAAAGTACTAAAAATTATATAACTATATGCACTAAAAATTGTACATGTTTACCCATAAAGCCACATCAAATATATAATTGAGTATTGATGTTTATGAAGGAGCTATGAACTAAATACACTGATTTATTTCACAAGCTACCCATAAATATAAGCCCAATTTCATTATGAACCTTGGTTTGTAAGACAGAAAAATAGAACTAACTTTATGTTTGTGATGGGGAAAATTTTAGAATGAAACTGATTGGCAAGTTGAATATGGTTTTGATTTTTGTCTTTGTCAAAACCCATCTAGCCACATTTTATTGTTGTAAACTAAATCATGCACTTTAAGACTACAGATGATATGTAGTCTTAAATGTGCTCTTTCTAAATCTCCATTTTTAAGTGCTGGAAATAGTTTCCTCTACTTCCTGCTCCAAATCTGTGAATAGGAGCAGGAGTTAAGTATAGCACCTAAACCACTGTTTGGATACCTGTTCCTGTATCAAGTCCTGGGTCCACTTCTGATTCCAGCCTCTAGCTAACGTGCATCCTGGGAAGCCATAGGTTATGGCTTAAATAGTTCAGTCCTTGCTACTCATGTTAGAGAGCCAGACTGAGTTCTCAGTTCTTCACTTCAGCGTGGTTCAGGCTGTTGAAAGCATTTGGGGAATGAACCAGCAGATGGGAGAGCTCTGTCTCTTCCTGCTTTTTAAATAAAAAGGAATATTTGTAACCAAATCAAAAAAACATAATGCTAAATCACCTTTCTCTCTTTCTCTCTTTCACTGTCTAACTCTGCCTGTCAAAAAAAAAAAATAAGAAAAGAAAAACATAATGCTAAATCATAATTCTTACTTTTAGAATTACTTTATCATCTTAGTTTGAATTCAATGAATATATAAATCTTGGAGAGCTTATTGATCATTTACCAATTATTAATTGATTACACATTTCATAATTCTACTAAAGTCACTGCTTCACTCCTACTACTGTGTCACAACCTGACACCTGGTCCACTACTTTGGATTACTACTGTCTCTCAATTCCATACAACAGTTTAGCGATGGCTAAAGCTGGGCTTTCCATCAAAGCAGTAGCTAAATGATGAGAAAACCTCTCATTCTCCCTCTTCCATTCTACAAGATCACGACCTGGATTTGGCACTTAGGCTAAATTTAACCTACTTCAGAATACCATTGACTTTATCACCAGCCAAGATACCAGCCTCTTGTTTTTACACCTTTTGCTGCACTCTCTTCACAGTTTGTGTTTTTCTCATTTCAATCTTGCACTCTTCATCCCCTTCCTAAAGTTTTCCGCTATGACATTTAAAATTAAAAATTCAACTGTTCAAAGCCTCAGCTTCATCATTTAATACTTCTTAGACATTCTGACTTAAGATCTGATTCTCCCCTTAGCACACCTGTACTTCTGTCATTGCCATATGAAATCTCTTACTCTTCTATATACATTAAAGCTCAGGGTTTGCAAAAGGAATAGGGCTCTCCTGGTTATCACAGTGGTGCCCAGTTCATAAACCCCCAATGCTTTTGTTGGAACACTTTCTCCCATGTAAATATTATATAAAATGATTATAGTTCCTATCACCCCCTCAGCATTCATGGTTGATGGCACCAACAGGCCACCATCTTCCACTGTACCACATTTCCACCAAGTATCCTTAATGGAGTCAACGTTTTTATCCATTCATCAGTTTGGCTCTTAGTTCCCTGAAATCTTTTCCCCTACTGCATCTCAACTTCTCACCCCCCATAAACACTTGCTCTCCCTAATAACAGGGCAATTTTGGGGATGTCCTGTTAAACCAGTTTGCTTACAGGCAATTAAGCAATAATGTTCTTAACCTAATTCAAGTGTCCATTCCTTTTGCCTACCACTTCCATTTTTTTAAACTATCACTCTGTCATCTGTTAATATGTCTTATTTCCTGCTTTGATTCCACATTTTTCAGAAATGTATTCTCTTAAAAATACTCTAACCTCTTTCCCCTCCCTCACTCTGCCTTTGCTGCCTGGTGATACTCGAGCATGGATAAACACTATACACTTGATCTGTGCCTTCACCTGAGAGGTTGTATGCTGCTGGAGAAAAGCATATAACTGTCGCTCCCCCTCTTCGCGGAGGAACGACACTAGACCCTGCGCTGTTCTTTTGTCTGCTCGGCCCTTCCCGGGTTTGCTGCTGGTCCTTCCCGGGTTGGCTGCCGACCCCTCCACCTCCGTGGAGGGGTGGCTCCCCCTGCCACTTTCCCCACTTCCGCGGAGGAGCGGCACACCACCAGCCGGCTCTCTCAGGGGCTGCTCAGATGTTATCCGGATGTTCCTGGTGCATGTTGTCTCTCTCCTCCTTTATAGTCCTCTTCCACCAATCCCAACTCTGCTACCCACACGCCGAGCACGCTGCTCTCCTCCAATCAGGAGCAGCTCCTGCAGTTTATTGGTCGAACTGGAGGCAGCTGCATAGAAGCTGTTTACTCCTCTCCCAGCGCCATATTGTGGGAGAGCAGATGCATAGAATAAGTCTTAATTCCAGTAACTTAGTCTAGTCTGAGTTGTTCCCCACAATAACCATTGATGGGTGCCTCACTTCACACTTCTGATGAGTCTCAAGCTGGCACTCTGTAGAGCCTGATGATCCTACCACTCTTTCCTACCACAAAATGAGGAAACTTGTTTTGCCACTGTGCTCCAATTTTCAGATAGCTTTTACTCCCCTCTCACTCTCAGCTGAAAACATAGCAGAATACGTCCCAGAAAAAAAATAAAGACGATCATAAAAGAACCATCCCCTTTTTTTTCACTCTAGCTCCTTTTTCACGTGCATCTGTAGCCTCTGCCTTTCTCCCTGCTGTATTGAAATAGATGTCCTGCTCTCATGGAAGGTCATGCTCTAGAGACTAACACTAATCTCTCCTTTTTGCAGCATGGTTTTGTTCCTCTTTGTTGGATCACATGTCTTAATATCACCAATCTTTTAAAAAGACTTCTAACTTTTCCCAGTTATTATTTCAATATCTGCTCCCTTTATAATACAATCTTTAAAGAACTGTCTTCCTTGCTTCCACTTTACTGCATCCTATTCTTTCCTAACTTCACTGTAATTGAACTGTTGTCAACTGAAATTACTTCCATTAGGGTCATTGATATCATATATTTTCCAAAGTCAATAGTCAACTATCCTTATCCTACACAAAATCTCAAGAGTCAACAAAGCTGCCACTCTCTTGTCTTAAATCATTTTATTTGCTAGACTTTCGAAAGTTTATGTATCTCTTTCTTCACTTCCTTCTTGAGGCACACTCTTACTCAACTTCCTGTGCTATTCCCTTTCTTTTTATCAAACCCCCAACTCCAGGAAACTCCTAGGACTCGGTCCACAGCAACTTTCTGTTCTTTCAGCTTCAGTCTTCCTTAATTCATTTTATCTATTTTCCTGGTTCCCAATGCCATCTAGACATCCATCTATCTAGTAAGTAGCACTTCAATTAATTATAAATATATGAATGAATGAATGCAAAAAATGCAACTATTTTGATGGGCTTGGCTGTATCTTGTGTTTATCTCACTGTGTGATACTGGGTGATTTACTTTTTTATGCCTCAATTGGTAACATAATCTTGAGCATGGTTTTCTAATGAAAATTAAACCAACTAGGGAGAAATTCAGAGTGATTGAGAGTTATTGAAGGCATATACACACTTGGATATTGCTATCTATTAACGCTTTTATTTGGTTAAGGTGCTGGCTTCATGGCTCCACCAGATATATCTAAACGCACTCCATTTTCTCGGTTTTAGATAGCATAGGACCAACTGGGGAGAAATTTAGAGTGATTGAGAGTTACTGAATGCATATACACACTTGGAATAATTGCAATATTGATTCCCTCTGGGGGATGTGTCATAGGTAAAAGACAAATTTAACTTATTTCTTATAAATAATATGGTTTTATGGGTTTACAAATATACATTTTTATCTTTAAGTCAACCTTGTGAGGTAGCAAGATGAATATACATATTATTTTATAAATGAAAAAATGAGTTGTATTTGTTTTCATAATTGTTAAATTCACAGAACACCCAGGACTTGGTTACTAGTCTGTTGAGTATCCATTATTGTATCTTAATACTGCAGCCGTGGTAGAGTTCAGATTGAATTGATTTTATTAGTGAAACAGTTATTTTCACTTATTTACACCAACACTTATATTTCACTGCCATCTAAGAGGTTTCCTTAACATTTCTCTGGCTGAGAAGCCTCATTTGTTCGGGAAGGACTGCTTTTTGCTATACATAACTTAACATGCCATGAAACAGGGTTAATGAAAACTTGAGAATTTCCACTAATACAGAAGACACTTGAACACTCAATAGTTTGAAAGCATGACCAATGAAAGACATAGGGATACAAGAAAAGCCCAGCCTACAGTTTTTGTTTGTTTGTTTGTTTGTTTGAATATGGCAGTGAATAAAGAACAAGCTTCAGGGTGACTGAGAGTTGAGTTTGGAAAATGTTTCATCACCACTTTGCCTTGCCATGTCACTTAGCTGTAAATACTTTGAATCTCTATTTTCATCAAAAAGTAAGGACACTACACAAATCACATTGAATCTGTTAAAAACTAATTGAAAATTAGAATTTTTAAAAATAATTAAAAAGTAAGGACACTAGAGTTTAGTTCACAGTGTCAGCAGGAGGATTCATATTATCAACTTTTAATACATTCTTATGTCTGTTTCAACTTCTTTGTTACTCTATGCCCACTGGGGTTAAACACCACGCTATAGGAGGGAGGACCAGTTCCAAGCAGGCATTTCACTACAAAGTGCATTTGAGTGGAATTAAGATTTAATATGCTCTCCTGTTTTGTTATCTAATTACTTGAAATGTATTCATCTTGTTCTATGAAATTAATCGTAAACTTCAAGGTAAGAAAAATTGCATGGGAGGCATTAAAACATTTGTATTCTTCCACCTGTTTAAATAAGGAAGTGCTTAATAAATAATTTAAGTTCCATTGGAAGAAATTGCCAGGGAATTCTAATTGAAATGTCTGCATCCCATATCAGTGTGCGTATGCTGGAGTTTCAGCTACATTTCTGACCCCAGCTTCTTGCTAATACATACCTGGGAGACAGACAGCAGGTGGTAGTTCAAGTATTGGGTTCCTACCACTCAAGTGGAAGACCTTGATTTAGCTTCTGCCTTTGGCCTCATGTGCTCTCTTTCTCTCCTTCTGTTTCTCTCGGTTTCTCTCCTTCTCTCCTTCTCTCTCTCTCTCTCTCTCTTTCTCTGCCTTTCCAATGAAATGAAAATTAATAAATAATGTTCTTTCTCCTCAAATGATCCACAAATTCTCAGCAAACATGGAAAAAAACTAGAAAATAAACTGAATTACCTTCAGATTCTGTAAATGTACATGGGATAAATTCTTATAATTTTGTTACACAGATTTCCTGGAAATAAAAGGGGCTGAGTATTTATAATTCTCATACATATCACCAAATTAGAATAGAATATGGCCAGAAACTTAGGTTAGTTTCCTTCTGTGAGGATCAATAATCAAGATCTTCATCAGCAAAAGAGGATTACATTCTCTCTCTCTCTCCTTCTCTCTCTCTTTTTCACGCACACACACAAATATAATGTATATGAACGAAATTGACATTGTGAGACTTCTTTATTGTTTATAGCCCTTCCCTATACTTCTGAGAAACCGTGGTTTTTCTACTTACTACTTGTTGAATTCTTTATTTAGTGGACCATTAAGGTTTGTGATTATCAAGAACATTTAAAGTATGCTATTGTAAAAATTAAAAGAAAAATAAGAAAAGAAGGAGGAGGAAGGGGGAGTGAGTAAAGGAAGGAAGGTACAGTAGGAAGTATCATTGTAACTGTATACATGAAATACAAAAAGTTATTGTAAAAAATCAAGGAAAGAAGAAGGAGGGATATAGGGAGGGAGGATGGGAAGTAAGTATGGTTATCTTCTTAGAACTGTACCTATGAAATACATGAAATCTTTAAAAGCAGGTCTTATAACTTTTTAAATTATTTTAATTAAAAATTAAGTTTTTAAAATATGTTTTACTTGGCCTGCGCCACGGCTCACTTGGCTAATCCTCCACCTATGGTGCCGGCACCCCGGGTTCTAGTCCCGGTTGGGACGCCAGGTTCTGTCCTGGTTGTTCCTCTTCCAGTCCAGCTCTCTGCTGTGGCCCGGGAAGGCAGTGGAGGATGGCCCAGGTGCTTGGGCCCTGTACCTGCATGGGAGACCAGGAGGAAGCACCTGGCTCCTGGCTTTGGATCGGCATGGTGCACCAGCTGCAGAGTGCCTGCTGTGGGGCCATTTGGGGGGTGAACCAACGGAAGGAAGACCTTTCTCTCTGTCTCTCTCTCACTGCATGGGAGACCCGGAAGAAGCCCCTGGCTCCTGGCTTCGGATTGGCTCAGCTCTGGCTGTTGTGGCCATCTAGGGAGCAAACCAGTGGATGGAAACCTTTCTCTCTCTGCCTCTACCTCTCAAATAAATAAATGAATAAATCTTTAAAAAAATAATTCAACAAATAACTTTTCTTTTCAGTAGGAAAATAGTAAGGATATTAAATAATAATCAAATTAAATAAATTCATATATATACATTCAAGTGGTCTTTAACAATGGGGCTCAAAATACATTATGTAAAAAGAGTCCCTTCAACAAATGATGCTGGGAAACTGGATATCCACATACAAACAAAATGAAATTGAATCCTTACATTACACCATATATAGAAATCAACTTACATGATCGCTGTTAAATATAAGAGTGGAAATAAGAGAGGGAAGAGATGTGCAATTTGGGACATGCTCAAGCTGAATTACCTCAAATGGTAGAGTTAGAAACATACCAGGGGATTCCAATTCAATCCCATCGAGGTGGCATGTACCAATGCCATCTCACTAGTCCCAGTGATCAATTTCTGTTCACAATTGATCATAATGATAGGACTAAGAACCAAAGGGATCACATAAACAAGAATAGTGTCTGCAAATACTAGCTGATTGAATCAAAAAGGGAAAGAATGATCCAACATGGGAAGTGAGATACACAGCAGACCCATAGAATGGCAAATGTCCTAACAGCACTCTGGCCTCATAATCAGCTCTTAAGGCATGCAGATCCGGCTGAAATGCCCATGAGAGTATTTCAGGCATGGAAAGCCAAGACACTCTGGGGAAAAAAAAAAAAACCTAAATGAAAGATCTCCACGAGTGAGATCCCAGTGGAAAGAATGGGTCATCAAAGAAGGAGGTACCTTTCTCTGAAGGGAGGAGAGAACTTCCACTTTGACCATGGCCTTGTCTAAATATGATCAGAGTCAGTGAACTCAGGGGGCTTCCATAGCCTTGGCAGCTCATGACAAGAGCCTAGGGTGATTACTGATGCCATAAACAAGTGTCAATTTGTTAAGTCAACAACAGGAGTCACTGTGCACTTACTCCTCATGTAGGATCTTTGTCCTTAGTGTGCTGTACATTGAGATTTAATGCTATAACTAGAACTCAAACAGTATTTTTCACTTTGTGTTTCTGTGTGGGAGCAAACTGTTGAAATCTTTACTTAATGTATGCTAAACTGATCTTCTGTATATAAAGAGAATCGAAAATGAATCTTGATGTGAATGGAAGGGGAGAGGGAGTGGATAAGGGGAGGGTTGCGGGTTGGAGGGACGTTATGGGGGGGAAGCCATTGTAATCCATATTCTGTACTTTGGAAATTTATTTTCATTAAATAAAAGTTAAAAAAAAAAGAAAAGTTGCCTTGTACCCCTTAAAAATGTGTATTGAATGTTAATCAAATTTTAAAATAGAAAATGCTAATGTAGCAAGTTCTTTATACGTATCTTAATTATGTCCTGTTAGTAAATTCAAAGGAATGAAATCAATTTAAAAAATAAATTCTGTATAGTTTGACATATAAAAAAAAAGAAATCAACTTATAATTGGTTAAAAATATAAATGTAAGACCTGAAATGTTAAAACTCCTAGAAGAAAACACACAGGAAAATGTACACAGAATTGGTGTTGGCCAGGACTACTTGGCTATGACTTCCAAAGCGGTGACAAAGTGAAAATAGATAAGGGAGGCTGCATCAAACTAAGAAACTTCTGCACCACGAAGAAAACAAACAATAGAATGAAAAAGATAAGCTATAAAATGGCAGAAAATATTTTCAAACTACATATCTGATAAGAGGTTAATACCCAATATATATATATAAGGAACTTCTATAACTCAATAGCAACAAACAGAAACAACCTGGTTAAAAAAAATCGGTAAAGAGCTTAAATAGACGCACGTCACCCCAAAAAAGATATACAAATGGCCAACACATAAAAGAGAAGATGCTTCACATCAGTAAGAATCAGGGAAATCAAGTAAAAGCCACAATGAGATTATCACTTCACACTAGTTAGGATAACTGTTATTTATAGAAAAAGTTAACAAGTAATGATGAAGATGTGGAGAAGTTGGAATCTTTGTACAACAATGGTGGTATAAAATGAGTATAAAATGAGGCAGCCACTATGAAAACAGTATGGCATTTCTTCATAAAAAATTTAAAAATAGACTGACATGGAATCCAGAAATTCTAGTTCTGGATATTTATAAAAAATAATTGAAATCAAATAATTAATATCAAAGAGATATTTGAAATCCAAGTTCATTGAAAACATATTCACAGTGGTCAAGATGTGGAAGCAGTCTAAATGTCTGTCTATGTGGATATGTGCCGTGGAATATTATTCAGCCTTATAAAAGAAGGGAGTTCAGTCTTACATGACAACATGGATGAATTTTCAGAAACTTATCATAAGTGAAACAGCCTGACACAGAAGGACAAATATCATATGTTTCCCTTTACAAGAGGTCCCTAAAATAGTCAAATCCATAAGTAGCTGAGAATAAGATATTGGTTGCCAAGGAGCTTTGAGGTGTGAACATCGGGAAGTTGCTGTTCAATGGGTACAAAGTTCCAGTTATGCAAGAGGAATACCTGTAGAGACCTGCTATAAAACATTGTGTCTATAGTTAGCAATATTATACACTTAAACTTACTAGAGTAAGTAGATCAGGTGGTTAAGTGTTCTCACCACGTTAAAGAAAAGAAGAAAGAACTGGATAGATGGAAGGAAGAAGGCCATAGTGAAGTTTGAGTATTAAAATATCTGCTTTCTTGGGTTTTGTATCATTTGAGTCTTCAACTATTTCCTCGGGCTATAGCAGCATATCACAATATGAAAATCCCACAAACATGGTAGCCTCTGGGGTTCCTACCTAGCTTTCATCTTGCAAGCTTCTGTGGAAGGGGATGGGCTGTGTTCCAACCATGAGACCTCCTGTTCATACTGCAGAAGGTGGATGGTTTCATGCACTAGGAGCTCAGGGTTTTTCTGGGTTTGTCACTGACCAGCAATGTGGCCTTGTGAGGGTCATTTAACTTTCCAGGCTTCTGTTTCTTTATCTTTAAATGTTTGAGTTTGAGCCAAATCATCTGCCAGACCCTTCCTGCCCCAGTGTTCCTCGACACAACATATGAGCAGATAGCAAGGATTCCCAAACTAAAACAAATTCAGTGTTGCAGCCAATTCAGAAAGCAATGACTTGATGTTACTAGATTTAGCCTATCTGTGGAAAGGGGGAAAAAAAACAGTGTTTACTGGCAGCCTGGGTGAGTCAAAAGGCCAAGCTATTTTTGGTGAAGACCACTAAGCTGGCTCAGGCATTTATATGCATTTTCTCAGCAATAGGAACAGACATGCTGCTCAAATTCCAGGGAAAGACCTACACCTTCAGAGCAATTCAGTAGTGAAAGAAATGTGCTTTGCTGGAAAAAAAAAAAAAAAACATTTGAACACTAGCTGTGTAGTTATATTAGCTCTAAACATATGTGTAGTTATATAATATGTGTGATTATATTAGCTCCAAATGTAAGGTCATCAAGTGACCTAATTGTCTGATAGAACTCCTAGCTTAAGGAAGGGATAAAGAAGCATTCTATCTCTTGTTTTCCTTTTGTGCACATTGAATTGAATTAATAGATCCTTAATAAATAGCCACCTTGTAAAAACTGCATTTGTCAGTGCTGTGAGATACCTGTGGGTATGCACATGCATATAGTTCTATTGTATATTAAGACTGGAAGAAAACATTGCATGTTAAACAAGTGCATGTAGATAATGAAAATAAATAATAATACTTTTACTTCTTCCTCAACATGAAGTAATATGAAAACAACTGAAATCTGAATGAGTTTTGCTCTGGTACATGTAGCTGTCATATTTAGCATGTCAATGAGGCAGCATGAAGCTGCATTTATAAGTAGAGGCTCCACAGTTAAAGGTTAAAGATCTGAAGCCCAGATCTCTGTCATTTTTGGCTCTTACTGGTTTTCCTATGATGGCGAAGTTACTTAGCCTCTGGAAACTTTGTTTCCTTGAGAGTAAAATAGTGATAATTATATCTAATGTGAATAAAAATGCATTTGAAGATTTAAATACACATCAGAATCATAACTAACAGTGTTATAAAAATAAACTTTGAATTATATTTTTGTATAATTACAAAATACTTTATATTTTTATGCATCAGTGAATTAGTACTTTCACATCCAAAAGCAAAGAATTCACCTATTTTCCATTGCCCATCTATTTAGCCAATTAAGACCCATTTTTGCCATTTCAATCCATTTGCTAATTCACAGATGAAACATTAACCCCATGATGCCACTAAATATGAACCTGTAAAGACAAGGTAAGAGTGAAGCCAGCTTTCAGCCACAAAAGAACGGAAAGAGCAAGGTACCACTAGGAAACCACATAGGTTAAATGTAAAAAGAATCCAAGCTGTACTAATATTATCTAAGTCCTTTATTAAGGTACCCCCAAAGGCTTGTTTTTGGAAGTCTCAATTATGTAAGCCAACAAATTCTCCATAAAATTTATTCAAGAGGCATTCAGAGACATAAATTAGAGAGACAGAGAAAGTTCCCAATTGCTCTTTCGTTTCCCAAGTGCCCAAGAGCTGAGAACTCAATCTAGGTCTCCCATGTTAGTGGCAGGGACCCCATTACCTAAGCCCCCTCACCTGTCTCCTCATAGGAGTTGCATCAGCATAAGCTGGACTTGGAACTGGAACCAGGTGTTGTGAAGCCATGTATTCTGAGAAGAGATGCATGTGTCTTAACTAGTAGGCCAAATACTTGGCCCTTTGTATTTTAATTGGGCCACTTTAATAGCTCATCTCTGACATGTGCAAAAAACAAGTCCTGGTTATACGACACATGTTGAAAATGCAGTTCCCTTGACCTAATATTTAAGAGTGGAGCAGAGGAATTCTGAATCTTTAAAAAGGCTGCCAAAAGATCTGTCTACAAAATCACTGTTAGAGGTTGAATTGTATTTCCCCAAAATTCATATATTGGAGTCCTAACTCCCAATATCCCAGATATTTGGATATACAGTCTCTAAGCAGTATGTAAGGTTCAATGATATCATTAGGGGAGGCCATAATTCAATCTGACTACTACAAAAAGAGGAGACTGGGACTGAAACACAAACAGAGGGGTGACTACATGAAGACACAAGAAGACAGCCATCCATCAGGTAAAAAGAAGTCTCCAAAGAGCATCAACCCTTCCTACAACTTGATCTCCTTCTTATAGCCTTTAGAACTGTGGGAAATATTTGCAAGTTTCTGTTATTTTAGTCACCCCATGGGAGGTCATTTGTTATGGTTGCCCTGGTAAACTAAAGCAGCCAACTCTTGGGAATATCAGTTCTGGGACTCCTCATTCTATATTAACTCTTGTTTTTACAACATTCTAGGCAAGCAATCCACAGTCTTTATTTAAAACTGCCTCCAAAGGAACCCACAACACTCTGACATGACCTCCTTCATCTTGGAAGTGCATTCTTTGTAAGAAAAAGTCTCCCTTGCATGGTGCTGAAATCCACGTTATCCTAACCGGTAGGCTTCATAATGATAACACTGGGACACTCCAGGAATCTGAAGTGGTTTCAGAATCATGTAAGTAAAACCTTACTTACTGAAAGTTCAATGTTATATATACTTTTGATGGTATCATATTTTATCTGAATATTCTAGCTTTTAGTAGATTTAGGACATTTGGTAAATATCACTCAATTATAACCAGAATTTGCAATTTATTGATTTTTTAGATACAAGGCAGCGTATTCTAATTTCTAAAAACTGAATAAGATAAAATTATTACATGCAGGCTTTCCTCCCTAAAGGATTTTGGACTTCTGATGATGATAAAATCTCAATAGGTTTAGCCTCACTGTTCTTTCGGAAGACACTTTAGCTAAAGAAGAAATGGTTGTTGCATACCAATTTCTATCTGCGTATCACAAGCTGCCTATTCCTAAGAACTTATAGGCCATACTCAGGTTGGGAAGAATATTTAAAAACTATCTCCTATCATGTTCTACCAACAGTTTTACTGAAACAATGATTGTTTTGGACAGGCACTATCCAGGGAAATTGTTTAAACTGATTCAATTACCTGTATAATTGACTCCCAAAGCTTTTCCATCTTAGGATATTTCTCACATTAAAGATCACATTGACAGTGCAGCTAAAGCATAATAAAAGCCCTTTCACTTCAGCTGACTCTATTGAAACTCATTAATAGTGATAACTGTAACAACTGACATTTAGAGACTGCTTATTGTTATTTCAGTAAAGGACTTTCCATGCACTGCCTCATTTCATATAATTATAAATTGATATAGGCTATAATTCCTATTTGCATTTTAAAGAGGAGATTTAGAGAAGTTTAACAACTCAAAAATCACTCTTCAGTAAGTAGCAGAATCAAGTTTGTTACCAAGTTTGGCTTTAAAATCTTGCTGTCAACAATTGGGTGCCTTCTACAAGGAGAACTCGTAGTCCAGTGAAAGAAAAATTTGTCCTCTAGGCAACATTTGCAAAACATCTGTCAGACCAGAATAATAACACTTACCTCTTGAGATTGTTTGTCAGGATTAAATAAAAATGTAATTTTACTCAGTTCTTGGCCATAGTTCTTGGCAGATGTTTTTAAGTACTTTATAAATGTCAATTTACTCCTTTCCAACAATATTTGCCACATATACACAGGGCAATGAATTGGGCCACACAAGAAAACCTACAAATAGAAGACAAGAGTTGCCACTGTTTTCCCAATGTTTACATGCAACTGAAAAGGCAAAAGACAAAAATATGAAAACTTTATAAAATAATGTATTTTATTTGGTGCATTGACCAGGGTTTGTTTGTTTGTTTTTATTTATTTGAAAGGTAGAGCTCTATGGGGAAAGAGAAAGCGTGTGTGTGAACCAGAGAGCAAGCTTCCATCTGCTGCTTCACCCCCCAAATGGTCTACACAGCCAGGTCTGGGCAAGGCTGAAGCCAGGTATCAGAAACTCCATCTTGGTCTCACACATGGGTGGCGGAGATCCAAGTACATGGGCCATCTTCCACTGCCTTCCCAGGTACATTAGCAGGAAGCTGGCTCAGAAGCAGAGTAGCAGGGACTCCAATCAGCACTTTCATATGGGATGCTGGTGTCTGAAGCAGTGCCTTAACCTGCTGTACCACAACACAGGACCAATTCTTCTGGGCTGTATTCTGTCTCTATTTCCATCTCGCATATCTAAATGCATGGGCCACTTTCCTTTTATAGGTACTTCTTCATAGTGGGAGGGTGTACCTCATGGGGTTGATAGAAGCTTTTAATGACTATACCTTGGTAATGTTAATTCGTACCAGGGAAGATTGTGAGATATTTACTTATTGTATCTTATTCAGTCCTCATAAGGACTTTATGAAATTGGCACCAGGGCACCATTTTACAGTTGAGGTGATTAAGAAACAGGTAAATATTTGGCAAACATTACATGCCTAGTAAATGGTACAGCTGGGATGCCAGCTCAGCCAGCGTGGCTTTATATCCAAGTCTTAGCATTCTACATGGCGCTGACTTCTGGATTATAGGTGATATATGTAAAGGTGCATACATATTAAAGTGATCAAAAATAGAATATTTACTATGGGGTTAATAATTGCAAAAGTAAAAACAAGGAAGAAATTTTTTTCATTAGGCTGAAATGTGCAGAATAAAAGATTTTCCTAGTCATGGAAATAATAATGCCTTTAAGAGTACTGAACAGAATTTATGTTTTTTTTTTTTTAATTCCCTAAAAGAACACGAAGCATATGGAATTGATGGCATTTCCAGATTTCTCAGATGACTTCTCCCTCATGGCCTTTCAAAAGAAGACTAATTCTGTGATTCTTCCCATTAGCTCTGGGTCTCTTGGTTTACTTTTCCTAACAAAGATTCACAGATAAATCATGTGAGGCTGACATGATTTCCTGGAAGTTCTCAGTGGTCTAATCTGCCTTGATGTGGTTGCTTTCATGGTTTCAAACAGCCCTTGTGGTACAGGAGCAGGCACAAGGCCAGTGGGTCATATTGCACCCACTTGTTTAAATGAAAAATTATGTTCCAGGAAAAAATTATTTCACTTTGAAGCTCTACCTCCGAACGTGATATTTGAAGGTTCTGTGGAGAGAAGTGATTTGTATTTCTACATATTAAAATATTGCATGTTGACTTTGTCATTCCATTTACAACGAAGAATAAAAAATTCAGATGCACCTTCTTGTTTTCACTAGTAAGACAGGATCTTTTCAGAGAGCCTGTAGTTCTTAAAAATGCTTTGCCGGGGGTGGGTGTTTGGCCTAGTTGGGATGTCTGCATCCATATCAGAGAATCTGGATTCGATTTCTGGTTGCATTCCTGATGCCAACAGCTTCCTGCTAATGCATGCCTTGAAAGGCAGGAGGCGATGGTTCAAGCAGTTGCATCCCTGCTACCATGAGAGAGAACTGGATTGGGTCCCAAGCTCTCAGCTTAGGCCTGGCCCAGCCCCAGTCATTGCTGGCATTTGGGAAATGAATCCGCATATGGAAGCTCTCTCTGTTTATATGTCTCTCTCTCTCTCTCTCATATAAATAATCAATTTTTAAAATTTACATAATTATATATGCATGTGTATAGATGGAGCAATATAAATCCCAACAACACGAGTGTACACAGGAAACATCTTCCCTCACTCTTTCCGATTTGAATCCCTCTTCTCTCCAGAGGTGCTTTCTTCTTGGTTCGCATCGTGCATTTACCTGCATGCATGTACATATGTTTGGATGGAAACATTTAGTTTTTTACTGAAAGAATGTTAGACAAAATATTTTAATCCCAGTGAACATAACTCTATCTTGTTCTTTTTAATGGCTTCAAATTCCTTGGTATACCTGCAACAGTTTATTGATAAGGTTGTATTTGTTATTCATCTTTATTCCTGGAATAATTCTTAAGTTACATATCCTAGTTTAAATTCCAATGTTGCTATTCTTATAATTACATAATATATATGCCATATTAAATTTGATAAGTAAATGTCATGTGTACAAACCATATCAAATTTATTAAATATATATCATGTATATGCACAATTTTAAATTTATTAAATGTGTATCTGAACAGGCGCCATGGCACAGTAGGTTAATCCTCTGCTTGCTGTGCCAACATCCCCTATGGATGCCAGTTCTAGTCCTGACTGCTCCTCTTCCAATCCAGCTCTCTACTGTGACCTGGAAAGGCAGTAGAAGATGGCTCAAGTGCTTGGGCCCCTGAATCTGTATGGGAGACCAGGAAGAAGCACTTGGCTCCTGGCTTCGGATCAGCACAGCTCTGGACACTGCGGAGTAAACCAATGGAAGGAAGACCTTTCTCTCTGTCTCTCCCTTTCACTGTAACTCTACCTCTCAAATAAATAAAGAAATAAAATCTTTAAAATATATATCATATTAAATTTATTACTTCCTAGAGTATAAATAGATAGATATAGAGATAGATGTCCTATGTTCCAAAAGGAAAACTTTTACTCACTTTTATTTCAATACCACATGCTTCTATCACATTAATATAATCTGACAATTTTTCAAGATTATAATTTTATTTGTTCTTTCAGAATTTTTTCTTTGTCTTTGGTAGTTTGAGGGTTGAATATGTTACTCCCAGGAACGTGTGTGTGTGTGTGTGTGTGTGTGGTGCTTGTGTTTTGTTTTTATTCTATTCTATCTTTTTATACTTTCCCCAAGCTTCATAGATGTGTGATTTGGTATCTGCCACTAATTTTGGAAAGTTTTTAATATTACTCCCAGTATTCCTTGTGCTCTATTCTTTCTTTCTTTCTTTACTTTCTGGCATTCCAATTACAGATATTCCTTTTAAAACTTTCTCTCCACTTTAAATATTCTATTATGTTTTATGTATTCTTTGATTTCAGTTTGGGAACTTTCTGTTAATCTATTTTACTTCACTGATTTTTCCTGGGACATGTGCTATTTACTAATGTGCCATCAAAGGCATTCTTCATTTCTGTTAGTTTGATTTGATTTCTAATATTTCCATTTGTTTTTTTCTTAGAATATCCATATCTTCTTACATCACCTATTTGTTCCTGCAGCATATATACATTTTCCACTAGAGCATTTCACATGTTCATAGTAGTTATTTTTAATTATTCAATAATTCAGTATCTGGGTAATATCTGAGTCCAGTTCTGATGACTGCTTTGTGTATTGAGATTGGTTTTGGTTTTGGTTTTTAGTTTTTTGCCTTTTGGCATGCTTTGTAATTTTCTATCATAAGCCAGACATGTTATATAGGGTGACGGGACCTGTGGTAAATAGGCCTTTAGTGTTATGTTAATCTGGCTAGGAATTGAACTGTGCTTAGTATTTCTTGTACCTACAGGTATCCTTAGCTTCAAATCAATCCTGTGTCATTGCTTTTTCCTCTGCTGACTTGGCCCTTCCTTATGCACTCTTCTCCAGACAGACTCAGTGTCTTGTAGAAGATTCAGCTGCAATCCACTGCTGTCCCACCTAGAATTGTGGTAGTAAAGTGTAAAGGAGGAGGAACATTCTGTACTCTTCCACTGAGACCTCATTATTGTAGTCAGTGGTGTCTCAGGACAGTGACCTTCGAAAACGTCTCTCCAGTATACTATATTTTACATCTTGCATTCTACTCCCTTCCTGGGCTTTGTCATTCCCAGATTACTTCCTTAAAGGTTAAATGCTATTGACTCTGCTGGTCTATCCTTATATGACAAAAGAAGCCCAGTAGGGATTAGAGTTGAAAAAGATTCTCTTATTCCCAACTGAAAAGCAGGTTTTATAATTACTCCCTGGCAGAATTTCCACACGGAGAATATGCCTTTGTTATGCAGAGGTCTTGGGCATACTTCTTTGCATCCTCTGCCAAAGTCTTTTAAGTGGATTCTTCTCAAAACCTCACTGTTAAAACCTGGTGGTATTCCTGGAAATTCCACAAAAGGGTAGGAAACCCTCAAGACTGAGGCCCCAATATTTGCTCTCTCTCGTGTTACTTCAGGCAGGCTTGAACAGTTCATCAGATGTCCATACAAGCACTCCTAATCCGTCTATAGCTCCAACAGCTTCTGCTCCAAGAGACCTCATCTCAGCTGCTTGGATGTGCCTGTCTCACCAGATTTTGTGGTGATGGTTTTCTGTGACATCCTTATTCTCTACTGGACTACAGAAAATGTGTTAGTTTAGTTTGTCCAACTTTTTCTTCTTGTGAGGACAACAGTCATGGCTTCAAAACTCTACCTGTTAATGCTGAAACCAGAGCAAACTTAACAAGACGTTTTAGTGGTTTCTTTGCTCATCATGCTTGTGATAAAATACATTTAGGATTTTTAAATATTTTTGTGAGCTGTAACTTTAATCAACTTTTCCAATAGGGTTTATAGGTGGTAAGTGTCCAAAGTCCATGGGATATCTATCTCCGTTGTTATTTTATCATTCACAGGAATGAGTTGGTTTGGGCATAAAATTCAAGCCTCATAATCTTTTTTTCCCTAATTCTTATTTATTTATTTTTTTTGACAGAGTAGACAGTGAGAGAGACTTCATTCTCTTTTTTTTTATTTTTATTTTTTTTGACAGGCAGAGTGGACAGTGAGAGAAAGAGACAGAGAGAAGGTCTTCCTTTGCTGTTGGTTCACCCTCCAATGGCCGCCGCGGCCGGCGCGCTGTGGCTGGTGCACTGCGCTGATCCGATGGCAGGAGCCTGGTACTTATCCTGGTCTCCCATGGAGTGCAGGGCCCAAGCACTTGAGCCATCCTTCACTGTACTCCCTGGCCACAGCAGAGAGCTGGCCTGGAAGAGGGGCAACCGGGACAGAATCCGGCGCCCCAACCGGGACTAGAACCCCGTGTGCCGGTGCCGCAAGGCAGTGGATTAGCCTAGTGAGCCACGGCGCCGGCCAATTCTTATTCTTTAGAAGATATTGCTGAAACGTTTTCTTGAGACCAGCCCTTTTTTAAAAGGAAGAATTGGTCACCAACATTTCTTGATATATGGCTCTAGAATTCCACTTATAGTATCTCCAGTTGTGGATTTTCTGTTTTTACTCCCCAGGAACAGTTCCATCTCATGAGTCTCTCAGTGGTAAGGCAATGTCTTCTCCTTTCTCTACCTACTTCTTTAAAAACAATGGTGAAATCCACATAATATAAAATTAACCATTTTGAAGTGTATGGTCCATATGCATTGGTTATGCAACCACATCCTTCATCTAATTCCAAACCATTTTCTTAACTCTAAAACTAAACAAAAAGCAATTATGTCTTTTTTCTGTTCTGTATTGCTATAATAGAATACCATCGACTTGGTAATTTATTTAAAAAGACATTTATTTCCCACATATCTGGAGGCTGAGAAGTCATTATCAAAATGCTGACCTCTGGTGAGGGTCTTTGTGTTGCCTCTTCCTATTGGCAGAAGGTGGAAGGGAAAGAAGTCCTGAGGGCAAGACACCATGAGAAAGCTGAACCTGTTTTTATAACAAGCCCACTCTAGTGATAATTAATTCATCCGCTGGATAGTGACATTAATTCATTCATGGGGGCAGAGACTCCATGAGCTAATTACTTCTTATTAGGCAGCATTTTCCAACCCTGTAGCATCGATGATTGTTTCCAACATTTGCACTTTATAATAAACTTTCAAACCACAGCAAACCTCATGGCCATTAATCAGTGATTCCCCATTCTTTCCATACCGCAGCACCGGGAAATCACTAATTTTCTTTCTGTTTTAAGGAATTTACCTATTTTAGATATTTTGTATAAATAGAACCATAAATTATATGTGACCCTGTGATATGGGACAAATCAGGGAGACAGTTTAGGCCCATGAGCTGCAGGCCACACCCTTTGCCCCTAAGTGATCTCACCTGTATCCACTCACCTGTCAATCAGACTATGTAACCACTGCCCTTTTGGAAGTTAAGAAGAGGCTGGAGCACACGGAGTCCACCCCGCTCTGCTGCTTCTCATGCCTGCTCCTCTGCACCCCGTTTTTACCACCAGCCGCTGCTCTCCCATCCTCGTGCCCTCTCCTGCTTTCAGGAGAGGCTGGTATGGAACTCCCCACTTACTTTTTCTGACCCACTTTTCCTTAATAAAGCCCTCACGTTCCTGTGTATTTCTCTCACTTTCCAAATAAATCCTGAACTTGACCATGTTGTCTGCCTTGTTTGCACTGGGCTTAGAATTCTTATCTGAGTAAACAGAAAGAACCTGACATATTAAATTTTGTTTTATGTTCTCTCATAGCACTTGCGTGTCTGACTTCTTTCACTCACAAAGATTTCAAAGTTCATCCACATTGTAGCATGCATCGGTGCTTCTGTTTTTCTTAAATAATTTCTTATATGATTGGTACTATCTATTTTCACTTTAGTTAATTTTCTTTTATTTATTTGAAATACAGAGAGAGAAAGAGAGAGAGAGAGAGAGAGAGAGAGAGAGAGAGATACTCCTTCCCCAGGTTCACTCACCAAATGCTTTCAATGGAGCCAGGATCCTGGGATTCAACCCAGGCTTCCCAAGTGGGTAGCAAGGACCTCAATGGCTTCTTCCATGGTACACATAAGCAGTAAACTGGAATGAGAAACAGAGTCATGACTTGAGCCCAGGCACTTTGATACACCATGTGGGTGTCCCAAGCTGTGTCAAAATTCCCACCACTTCATTCTTTCTTATGGCCAAATGATACCCAATTGTTAGCATACAGCAGCTTTTGTTTATCTGCAAGTTCACCTATTTATGGACATTTGAGTTGTTTCCACATTTTGGCTTAGATGTGGGCCTTCTTGCATTTTTCTTGCTGGGCACTTAGTAATCAGTTTCAATTTTATAATTCGGGTTATTTTCCCTATGCACTGGAATATACTTTATTTATTCAATTTTTTTTTGACAGGCAGAGTGGACAATGAGAGAGAAAGAGAGAGAGACAGAGAGAAAGGTCTTCCTTTTGCCGTTGGTTCACCCTCCAATGGCCACCACGGCCGGTGCACCGCGCTGATCTGAAGGCAGGGGCCAGGTGCTTCCTCCTGGTCTCCCATGGGGTGCAGGGCCCAAGCACTTGGCCAATCCTCCACTGCCTTCCAGGCCACAACAGAGAGCTGGACTGGAAGAGGAGCAACCGGGACTAGAACCTGGTACCCCTATGGGATGCCGGCGCTGCAGGCGGAGGATTAACCAAGTGAGCCACAGTGCCGGCCCCTGGAATATACTTTTCTATTGTTCCTTTCCTGATTGCTGTCCATCCATTCCTTTTGTAATCATCTATAACTTTACTTAGGTAACTTGGAACTTTTGGTTATTAACATTTGTTTTCTGTTTCAATTACATTGTTCTCTTTCGCTGAGTACAAAAAATGCCCCGGTTCAATTTGCAGCTCCTCGTATTGAATGAACTTTTCTTAATATGTTACACAAGCAATCAGCTACATTGTTAAATTTCAAGGAAAAAATTTTGAACGTCTATCATCTTTTTTATTTAAAGATTTATTATTTATTTGAAAGGCAGAGTCTCTCACACACACACGCCCGCGCGCGCGCACACACACACACACACACATCTTTCATCCAGTGATTCCCTCCCCAGATAACTGCAACAGCCTAAGTTTGGTCAGGCCAAAGCCAGAAACTCCATCCAGCTCCATCTGGGTACTCCACATAACTTGCAAGGACTCAAGTACTTAAGCCATCATCTGCTGCTTCCCACACACATTAGCAGATATCCGGACTCGAAGCAAAACAGCTGGGATATGAACTGACACTTTGATATGAGATGAGGTAGTTCTCAATGGTGTCTTAACCTGCTATACCACAACACCCACCCTTCTTTCTTTTCCTTCCTCCCTTCCTCCCTTCCTCCCTTCCTTCCTTCCTTCCTTCCTTCCTCTCTCTTTCTCTCTCTCTTTCCTTTCTTTCTTTCCTCTGTTGCTCTTTCTCTTTATTTATATATATATAAAGCATCTCCCCAAATTTCTACTAGCTATAAACTTTTGTGAAAGTATGTATGTATGTATGTATGTATGTATTTTCATCTACTTTGAAGACAAAGCAACAGAAGGGGAGAGAGAGAGAGGCTGATTCACTCCCCAGTAGCCAGGGCTTAGCCAGGCTGAAGCCAGGAGCCAGAAACTCTATACAAGTCTACCATGTTGATGGAAAGGAACCAAGTTCTTGAGCCATGATCTGCTGCATCCCAAGATACCTTAGCAGGAAGTTGGATCAGAAGCAGCATAGCCAGGATTCCCACCAGCACTGTGACATGGGATGTGTGCATCCCAAGTGGCAGCTTAAGCCCCTGTGCCACAGTGCCTTCCACTTGTTAAAATATTTTATTTTATTTTTTGACAGGCAGAGTGGACAGTGAGAGAGAGAGACAGAGAGAAAGGTCTTCCTTTGCTGTTGGTTCACCCTCCAATAGCCGCCGCGGCCAACGAGCTGCGGCCGGTGCACTGCGCTGATCTGATGGCAGGAGCCAGGAGCCAGGTGCTTCTCCTGGTCTCCCATGGGGTGCAGGGCCCAAGCACTTGGACCATCATCCACTGCCTTCCCGGGCTGCAGCAGAGAGCTGGCCTGGAAGAGGGGCAACCGGGACAGAATCCAGCGCCCCGACCGGGACTAGAACCCGGTGTGCCGGCGCCGCAAGGAGGAGGATTAGCCTAGTGAGCCGCGGTGCCGGCCCCCTTGTTAAAATATTAAGTTGTCTGTTTTAGTAACTCCATGTATGAAGGTCAGGTGTCAAGTTGGATGGATTAAGACAATGTGGAAACCTGGTAGAAAACTGTTTTGAAGTATCTATGATAGTGTTTCCAGAGGAGATCCAGTGAGGATCCATGCCCAGTGTGTGTCTGGTGCCTTTCAGTCAGTTGGGGCCCCAGAGAAAAAACCAGAGTAGCTGAATATGTCTATTATCTAAGCGGGTCTGCAGTCTTCCTCAGCTGTCCTTGGGCATCAGAGGGGTAGAATCCCCAGTCTGCATTCTAGGATGCCCACTGGTGGCCCCTAGGGTGTTGAAATGACAGTTACATGCTTAGCTTCCTGGTTCTGAGGCCTCTGAACTTGGACAGAACTACACCACTCACATTCCAACGCCTCTAACTTCTAGAAGCCCTGAGACTTCTCAGTCTCCACAATCTTCGAGCCAATTCCCCTAATAAATAATTTATAAATACATATGCATGTATGAGGTACCTTTGCCTCCAGTAAGTGCATGTCTGCCTACCTAGCAATCCTTTGTATCTCAACATAAACATGAAAAATACATGATATGATACTTAACTAAAGTTAACCACAGTGATTTCTAGTTCTTGAAATTTGGTGTGATGCTTACATATGTTTGCACTTCTGGGCAAAGATTGGTTTCTTTATAAGTACATTTACAAAATGTCAGTATCACAAATGCAAATACATTATGCTAAGTTAAAGAAGAAAACTGAACACAAATGTGCCTCACTCTTAACAGTTAATTCTAGGTATAAAATTTCATTTTTTCATTTTTCTGTATTTTTATTGATGCCAAATAAGTTGTAACTGTTATAGTCACTTTTATTTATGACGAGATTTCATGAGTACTGGTGGGGCATATAATGAAGTTCCCATAAACTGTTTTAGAAGCTTACAAAATAAACAAATGGGAGAAATATCAAATTAACTTACTTCATCCCATATAACAAAATATATTTCAAATGGATTCAAGATGTAAATGTCAGTTCAGTAAGAGAAATCAAAAAAAGAAAATTTGAAAATTTTATATAAATTTTCTGATACATCAGAAATCTGAATATAGACCTAGCATATGATCCAGCTATCCCACTCCTGGGAATTTACCCAAACCAGAAGAAATCAGCACCTGAAAGAGGTACCTGTATCCCAATGTTCATTGCAGCACAATTCACACTAGCTAAGACATGGAATCAACTGATGTCCATCAACTGTTTACTGAATAAAGAAATTATGGTAACTTTACATTATGGAGTACCACTTATCTGTAAAAACAATGCAATCCTATCTTTTTCAACAAAATGGATGCAACTGGAAACCATTATACTTAGTGAAATAAGCTAGCCCTAAAAACACAGATATCATATGTTTTAACTAACTAAAACGTATGTATCAGGTAACTAATAGAGTACCTAACATGTAATGTATTGGAGTGAAATGGACATTTTGAGATTTGTCTCTTCCATTGAGGAATAATGTTTTGTTTTTTCCTTCATACTAGTTGTTGAACTCTTTTATTTAGTGAGGGGTTAACTTTACAATTATTAAGTAAACTGAAAATAGATCTTCATAAAAGTAAGAGTGGAGATGGAAGAGGGAGGAGGAAGAATGGTTGAAGCATAGCGGGTAGGGAGGGTAGGGTGGAAAGGATCACTATGTTCCTAAATCTGTATTTATGAAATACATGAAACTTGTGTAACTTAAATAAAATAAAAAAGATGCTTCAGCAAACACAGGAAAACCGCTTACATTTAAAATATCATGGCAAATATCACTACAATTAAAATGTGAAGATAAGCAATAAACATTAATTAGATTTATAAAAATATTAATGGCAAAATTATTTTCCAAATAAAATCCTTGAAAGAAAATATAGTAGAAAACTTAGGAGATGGATAATAGTTCCATCAGTATTTATAATTATATGGCAAAATAAGTTTTTGAATACTATTGATGGAAGGGTAAATTGGCATGGCTATTTTGGAAAGCAGTTTAGTAGTACATATCAATTTTTCAAATGCAAATACATATCTTTGACCTCAGCAATTTTGCTTTTAGAGATATAACACTTGCAATGGCTAAATAATGACTATAATGTATATATTTATCAAAAAGAAAATAAGTTTCCTATATCTATACATATAATAAGGGGCAGGTATTTTGATGCAGCTGGTTAAATCCCTACTTGGGACACACATATCCTATATTGGCATGCTGATTCCAGTCCCGGACATCCAGCTTCTTGCCAATGCATCTTGGGAAACAGAAGATGATGACTCAAGTGCTTGTGTCCTTACCACTTATGTGGGAGATACAGATGAAGTTCTTGGCTCCTAGCTTTGGTGGGGCCCAGTCTTGGCTGTTGTTCACATTTGAGGAGTGAAATAGCAGATGGAAGATTTTTTTCTTCTCTTTCCCTTTCCTTCTTGTTGCTTTGCCTTTGAAGTAAATTAAGACAAATAAACATTTAAAATATAAATAATAAGGTAAATAAGTACTAGAGTGGAGTATT